ATGATGTCGTTAAAACTAGCAGATTACGCGTTTCTTCGCTGACGGCACGGATTCTTCTATAGTATCCTTATATATTCAATGAATGTTAATTGAGCACAGAAACAATAGTCCATAATTCGTTTGTATTTGTGTTTTATAGTTGAGCGTTGGGGGTAAACTTAATTGTGGGCTTTTCAAACGATCAACTTACTGGCAAAGACGTATTTTATCAGTATTCTAATCCAGGCAACTTGAATTTGAGAGTCTGAGTACTTGACATTAAAGCGAACTAAAGACAACACTTGATTTGTTTGCTATTGAAAACGGAGTCGCGTGTATCACCGATTAATATACAAGCGAACATCTTATAAGACCAATGTGCATTTAGTCACGTCATTGTCCAGTATTGACATGCATCGTTCTTTAGTATGATTGGGTCATATATTATTCTATTTGTACTGTCGCAATAAATAAAATGGTTATTCATTTTCAAGTTTCAGTATACGGTAGTTTCTATTAGTCCAAAATGTTCAATATTATGAGTGAGGGTTCGTTTACAAAATGAGGTTACGCACTTTCGTAGCTGATCATACCACCTCGGGTCTCTAATTTTAAGGTGTACACAAGGACTCTCCAAATAAATGGCGAAAATTTAACGTGACAGCCACTTTATAAGAAAATAATATAGGGCCTATTTGAAAATGTCATGCAAATCTGTTCAATTGAGTTTAATCTGTTGATTCGGTTTCGATATGAATAGACAACAGTCTAAGATATATCATACTTGTATACATTCATACATACATATATCATACACATACACTTTGAGTTCTATTAAAATTCTGTATATTTTATATTAATTGTATCAGGTATGCGTATGCTTTGATGGAATAATAAACAAAATTGAATTCTATATACATATATTTATATACATCAATGGCAATCGAACGAGGAAAAATGAGGCATTTTAATAGATAGTGTTAATGCTTGAAGGGTTCAATAAATTATATTAATATACATTCATTTTATTTCATTAGTATGAAAAAATAGTTATTCATACGCTCAGTTCATTAATACATATAAAATATTTTCTTTTGTTAACACGTGATGTGACAGCAAGGGAGACAAACACTGCAATTATGACAGTATCTAGTAGAGATCAGGTGCGTTTGAGCTTTCAGCAATCAAAAGCTCATTTGAATATGCCCATAGTGCCAACGAACGACGCGTTCACCTTGGAGACAGCAACTCCAACTCAACAGGCTTTTCGCACTAGAATTGGACGACACAAAACCTAATGAGCGATACTCGATAGTCTGATCAGTTATTTTGATATTAATAGGATCGTCGTGGAGTCAGGTCACGTGGGAATAGGTATCTCACGTGACTTACAACATAACAATCGTAATAATATCATAAAATAGTGAAAATAACACAACGATCTTTGAGGAATGTTGTGTTTCTACGTTCAGCACGAACTCTTAAAAAAATACTGATCATATTCGACAACTGATTAAGTAATCTACCAAAAAACTATTTCTTAAGTAGACAAAAATAAGCTTATTCACAAAGAAATGTGGAAAAGGTTGACGTTAATGAACTAGAATGATGTCTGTTATATTCATCAAATATGTAGCCCGTCCTTTTTATCTTGTTTAACTTTAAAATTAAATCAGCGAAAGTGATAACACGCAAGGCGATGTAATAATTTGGCTTGTCAAAATACATAGCCGTCGGAAGAATTTTGCAGATGGTCCGGTTTATTATAGTAAAAGCGGGAGGGTGACGTGGAAGGACGTACTCTGTCTCTTATACACATCTAGATGTGTATAAGAGACAGCCCCTATCCACGACGGATACATGATTTAAAGTTAGTGAGGCCTGAGTGCATATCCACTCCCGCCCCACCAACTTATTTAGCATTTGGCGCCTCATGCAGGGCCACCAAGAGAGGGCAGAGGCAAGATCCCAGGGGGGCCCAAGCTTATCGGGGGAGGGGGAGGCATATATATTGCAGATAGCATTTTTCCATATTTTGTTCAAAAAGAATAATTACTATCATGGGCCCTCAATAATGGCATGGATCCCCTAATAATGGGCCACTCCAGATTGAGAGGGCCCCTCAAAAACCTTTATGCGCCATCGGCGCAATCTTCCGCGCGCTTTGCGCTCGTAATTGGGGGCCCACAACAATCCTTGCCCCTGTTACAGTTTCCCCTCTTGGCTGCCCTGCCTGGATGTCCGGAAATAGATGCTGGCAACCTGTAGAATCACTACCCTTCTCCTCAAAGCGCAGCCACAAGAATTAAAGTCACAAAAAAAAAAAAATTGGAAATATGGCAAATCTAGATGCCCGGAAAGAGCAACTTACAAACCTGTCGAACTCAACTTCTACACCTTCCCCATCATATATATATAGACAAATGCAAGGTTTAAAGTTAGTGGGGACTAGATTCATACCAACCATGATAGGGTGTGGGGGGGGGGAGAGCCCTGACAGTGGGGCAGCCTCCCCGACGGGGAGAACAATTCGTCGGAGAGAAAAAAAATTATATGTATATTCTACATATTATTAGTAGACTCTAAAATCGATTAAATAAGCCTTTGAAACCCTTAAATTGTTAAATTTTTAGGGGGGCTTCGCCCCCCGGACCACTTTTGGAACATTTTAATCGAAGCACGACCACGCCCACAATGCTTTTGTCGGGGAAATCTGACCTATCGTCGGGGGCATCGGCCCCTCCGTCGGGGATCTCGTCCCCCTCCCACGTCGGTAAAATCCTGGCGCCACCCCTGTCGAACCATACCTAAAGTACCTCAGCCCCATCATGGTGGGCCTAATGTGAACAAAATTTAAAAAAATGGTATCAGCTGGCAACCTGCAAAGCAGTTACCCCTGTTCCAACCCAGACGCAGATGCAGGATTTAAATTTAGTGCAAAGTGGATTAGATACCATACCCACCTCAGCTCTGCAATGGTTGAAAAAATGGCTCCTCTGTCAGGAAATAGCACATGCATACTTTAGTTTTTTTTTTGATTGCATGTAATCAAGGCGGGCTTGGCTGGATTACCTCTGTGTGGCGATGACAATTTGGCCGACTCAAACCCCCAAAATTTTGTAAATACGGTATTATATATTTAAACCTCCAAACATTTTCAAAGTCAATCTTAATGACTAAAACCTCATTCGCTTACCTTCTAGTATGTGTAAGTCGCGATTAGTTTTGATAAAAAAGAACAATATGACCACTAAAAGAAGATAGGTTGCATGTTGCATGTTATTTCGCTCAGTTATTTTTTATACAGCAGTTTCACATATTTTTCATAAGATGAAAATATTTAGAAACCACTAAAATGAGATGAGACAGCATTTGTCAGCGGCAGCTAAAGCAAGGTTTTACTGAAATTCATTGAAAAACCGAAAACCGACTGGTTCCTGAAAACCGAGTGAAAGCTGGCCTTTTGGCGTTCCATACCAAACCTGACGTGGAAGGACGTACTTGTAATGTTGCTCTTTTGGCGTTCCATATAGAACAACTGACAAACACGGCTAGGAACAGTGCCATGTGGTCGGAACAGCTAAAGATTTAGTAAAAAACGACAGTAAACGCCATTATTTTACCCACAATTACGCTGATAAAAATATTCACTTCGTGAGATGGGGTCTTCGATGATGTATGTTGTTACAGATTTTCAGACCGGCAGGTTTCGAATCCCAGACGTTTTTTGAAGTCCTCGGTTTTTCTATAGCCTATAGCCTTTGAAATTATAATATAGATTTAAGATTGTCAAAAAAATGAAATGAAATTTACATAGGCAATATAACAACAAGCGCATGGTAGATTTTTGTTTAAATATACATTAAAATGACAAAGGGATGCCAGCATTAATGATAAATTCCTATAGTTTGTAGGTATCAGTATATATTTATGTAAAAAAAGTAATATAATTGAGAAAAAGTGGTCCGGCCAAAGCCGGTGAGGCCGGTGCGGTTCCACGGCCCTGCAAAATATCCATACAGCAATCGCTCAATAATTAAAATGCCTGAATATTTTACTGCAGTCGGAACCGGATATTCAAAATCGTTGTTCAAAAATAGCGACAAAGAATTATCACAGTATTATAAATACGAGTATTTTATTGCCTAATACACAATGCAAAACCGAGGTCCTCAATACGTCTGGGATTCGAAACCTATCGGTTTGGAAAACTTTAACAACATAGACCACTAACATATGATAATAATAACAATAACAATATTTATAGTAAAAATATAAATCATCATAATATAAATAATAAAGATAAAGAATACCATAATGGTTACATTCTTCTCATCTGCTGCGAACGCACAAGACAGATTTAGAGGCAAAAAATGCTACGCTTACGCAAGCAGTCATTAGTACAGTCGATATTTAGAATGTACCAAAAATAGAGGCATTCAAGCAACGCAAGTAGTGTATGCAAACGTTGACTTATGCGTTTCGAGTGGACGCAGCTATTTGTTTTTCGCAAGAAGGGGAATGATGCCATACGTTTGCGTCAATCGGTTTGCGTTTGCGTTTAAAACGTGTTAGATAAGCTTTAATGTGGCTGTGTGTAGCATTTAAGTTGCGATTAAATTTTGCTATGTTGTGACATAGCACCAGTTCAAATTGTCAATTCTTTAAGATTTTATAAGATGAGTGTTAAGTACCATAAATCTTATTAGATATTATCATACCTTCTTTAACCAATACCGGTACTGTATTATTCCATCCCATGAAAGACACTCATGTTA